ATACAGCCTTACTATGGTTCCAGTTGTATGTAGCCAACTGGACACAAATTGTGTTCTTAAATGGAAACATTCTAGCTCATTTTGATCTGTGTTTTACTGTTCCAAAATGCTCCATTCTTGCCCCCATTCTCTTCATTCTATACACTCAGCTACTCTCAAGTGTCAGATCAACATTTGGTGTCTAACTACATACAGAGGTGCATTCCAATGTGAAGTCATAGATGTCATGTAACAAGCTGCAGAAGAATGATGATAAAATGAAGCCAGCTTGGTCACCATGCAAAGAATTTTCTCTTTCACATCCTTTTCCTCAAACAATAAGTATCAGCAATTTCAACAGTAAACTTACAGTCAGCATGAAACCTAGGTGTCACTCTCAATAGCGTTCTCTCATTACACTAACATGTAATGAACATGCAGGTCTGCATATCTGGAACTGTGAGACACATCAGCTACATTTCAGTTTTCTTTCAGTTGATGCCACGAAAACTTGCATGTTCCCTAGTTCTTTCAAGACTGGATTATTGTGATTCTGAGTTCTATCTGGATCATGTTAGGATCTATTAAAGAAACTTCCAAAAGTCCAAAACAGCTGTTCAGATTATCCTTATAGAACAAAGAACTGAGCACACCTCCCACATGCTCTGTAACTTCCATTAGCTACCCATTGGATCCAGAATTAAACAAAAAATCCAGTCATCATGCTACATTCCATTGACTAGTTCCAGTCCAATATACCTATCTGACCTCAATCATGTGTACACTCCATCTTGAAACTTGCTCTCCTCTTCCAACACTCATATTCGCATTGTTCTCACTGTTAAAACAGAGTCATATGGACAATATTCTTTTGCATACCATGGCAAGCCACATGAAACAAATTACTCATTGATCATAAACACAATTACACTGTGATCTCATTTAAAAGTGCTCTTAAAACTCAGACTACAAGAATAGACTTAAAGACTTAGTGTTTACTTCCTTAATTATTGTCAGCACAAGTTTGTTTTTTAATTCAATGGTGTTTTTGTAATTTTGTCACTGTATATGTTTGTGGTCAATATTGTAAAGCACTTTGAACTTCTCTTTATATGCCCTCTCTGTTAATGATCTCTGCCAACTCACTTCTGTCTGTGTGGATTTAAGTCTAAGATTTGGTGAATGTGGATATGTGAGAAAGCTTGCCAGTAGCTTCTCGTGGGTCGGTGGTCCTTTCCAGTGATTTCCCGATTTCATCCTCCACCATTAATACTGGCTGCCATGTATATCCTATCGTGTGCTGAAGAATGGCTTTAATCCCCAGAACAACAATAATTCTATGGCTTTGTAATAAGTCCACATTATTATTATTTTTATTATTATTATTATTATTATTATTATTTATTATTATTATTATTATTATTATTATTATTATTATTATTATTATTATTATTATTATTATTATTATTATTATTATTATTAACATTTTGAGATTTTTGTGAATTCATTTTAAAAAATTCTGGAGCACATCATTGGTATATAAGGACATTCAAGACTATTGGTACATCAGACAGGTCTATTGGAATTCTTTCAGAACACTGTGCTTTTGGACTTGTGATCGAATATTTTGCATTGGTTGGGTCTTGTTTCAAAATATTGTAATTGTCAATTGAATTTTCACTTTGTTTTCTTTGGAAATAGGTTGGTTTCACTTCTGTTACATATTGTAAGACCAGTAGTCGTAACACTTAACAGGTTGAAAGTATTTTTTTATTTATTTCTGTTTTCATGAAAATTATCTGATAGAAAAAAAATGATTGGTACAGAAGTCTCAGTTATAAAGAAATGGTGTTATAATTTATTTCTTAGAAATGGCAATTCCATTTGTTTCAAAGAAATTGTATTTGAGCTAAGTTGAATAATAAGTATTTTTGAAATAAATCTGATATATGACTATGTTTATTCAAGCAGATTTATTGAATCTATAGTCATTTTTTTATTTCTTTTCAAAAGTCCTTCAGTAAAGACATTTGTAAAATTCTGGTAGTGGGATTTTATTATTAGATATGCCAGAAATTTGATTTCTTTTATCAAGAAATATTTTAACTTTACAATGTTTTGTAATATGACAAATTGCATTAAGTGTTGATTTTTTTATATGCTTTTTTTACGACATGGATGTTGTCCATCACAGAGTAACAGTAAACAGTGTTTTGCTTGTTGCTCTTATTCCATTGACATTTGACAAGGTGGAGCAACAAGATTCTGCATGATAGACATTCCAGACAGACATTCAACACTGAATGAGTTTGGCATTGAGACTTTTGTTAAAAGTGTTGCCACTTCAGCAACCTTGGCATGCGTCATTATGAAGGTGGACCGTTCCAGTGGCCTAGTGTTTAGAACATCTGCCTTGAATGTGAGAGGTCGCAAGTTCGAACACCTGGCTGAGTCATACCAAAGACTTTAAAAAATGGTACTAACAGCTGCCTCACTTGGCACGCAGCATTAAGAGGTTAGTGTGAGGACTGGTCAGCCTGGTGTCAGGATAATGTGACTGGGTGTAAGTGACATCATGCCATATGTCTGCAGCATGAGCCCCAGTAGCGATATGACTTTAAAATTGTTAAAGCTATGTTACAAATCACACACACCACACTCACACATACACCCACACACACTATAAAGGTAAGACTTCATTTCATCACATTCACTTGCCCCTTTGACTTGGTAGTCAGTGTCAGTCATCAAACACTTGAATTTTGGTTTTGTTTCAAGTTTGTCCACTTTCTTATATTTCCTAACGGCTCAGATGAAATTTCTCTATTTGCCATGAATCATTATGAAGAGAAGACAATTTTTTTTTCTATGGCATTAGCTTGCTTGGCACTGTGAACTTGAGTCGAAGTTACACTTGTACAAAATTATTAAGGTTTCTTTTTCTCAGTTGGTAATATTTCTGAATCCCTGTTCAGCTTAGGACATACATGAGTTGAACTAATATGATTCTAAGCCAATTTAGTCTGTGACATAATATGTTTTGCTCCTTTGATGAAGGACACTTATAGAAAATTTGCCTGTCATGAACCCCTCCTCAACCTTGATGTGGTAGGTTATTGTTATCTAAAGGTGATCCCTGATGGTGTAATTTGCAGGTATGAGTAAATGTCAATATAAAGTATGAAACTTATGGGTGGAATAAATAAAGATCTCAGCAGATATATATAACATAATAACATGATCTTGCATGTAGGTCTTGGACTTGTATGTGTTTGATCCTTATTCACTGATGCTACTCTAAACATCAGCCAAGCTGTGAAACAAACATAATTAATCACCAATGGCTTTATGACCACAGTTAGTGTTCTTATATGTCCTTGACAATTTTTTTTAGCCTGGGGCTATGTTAATCCTGATAAAAGCTGGCTGATAGTACATTTTTATTTACTTAGTGTTTTGTTTATTCCTCTGCTCCTCTCAATTTGATACACCTGCATCAAATTTTACATCATTCTCACTATACAGCAGTTTGTTTCATGGTGAGTTAAGGACCCAAACTGCTGCATTATAATGGGGTTCTCTTGTAATGTGTATACACACACCCACATATACATTTGTCAAAAATGTTGCATGTAGAAATGTGGTTAGAATTTACAGTATTTCCTTTTGTTGTAAAATTGTGTAATTACAATATAGAATTTATAATCTTTTATTGTCAGCATGATTATTTAAGAAAGTGAGACATGTATTCTTAAGATTAATCTGACTGTATTTTGTCTAATGCAGCCTCTTTTACACCAACTCCAAACCTTGGGAGATGATAGAAGGTGGCAGGTGGATGAACACATTATTGTTAAGTAATTTTAACCATCTGTCTAGGAAGATTGGAGAATGCTGCTGGTATTTGATTTGGTTTGTTTTGGAGTGGATTTAGAATTTATGGATTGAATAGCTAAGAAAGTGTTGTATTGTATGAGTATTACAGAAGTTTTCTGCAGTCACTCCAGTAATTTGCAACTACAGATGTAAAAATTAATTTTCATTAGTGTTGCATGCAGCAAATCATGAATAAATAAGTCATCCCAGAACCTGGTATTTCTCTCCAAGATGGTTTTGGTCTTGATATTTCAGCCCCAGATGCAGCTGTTAATTCATAGGAATACACCCCATTTTCAGTGAGTTCTTTTGTGATATGGTAAGTTACAGCTAATATTAACTTTGTGTTGGATCATGGCTATGAATGTCCAGTGCTACATTTTCATGCAAAACAAATTGGAATTCCATTATGTTGGAAACTGTAAATATGACCTAGAAAATGAGTCTTGCTTGAGAATCTGATGGTCCTTTTACTGAGAACTCTATATTAATACAGCATTTTTGCTGTTTCTTTACAGGTTAAAGTTATATATTGATGTTAACAAATTTGGTGAGTTGTCATGTTAGAATTGTTTCCCCTATATCATGTATTCCAAATTGTTGTTTTGGAGTTTTTTCCCTTGCACTGTTTTTGTGAGCTATTTCATTATCAGTTATTTTTGTCTAATGCATAACCAATGTTCTTATACTTAAATTTTGTGGAATTCAACCTGTGCGTTGGCTTGTCAATTAGATATACCCATAAGAAAAGATTCTATAACCAATCAGTAGCCAGGGCTTCTAAAATTTTGTTCCCATGTCCCACCTTCCTTTTCGCCTGCCCCAACATTTTTAAATTTCCAGGGTGAGCCAGTTTGTGATATTGTTTTCGATAATTACAAAGGATCTTTACTTTCTAAGTCATGAAAATAAAGCCATGGGTGACAATCAACCCAGTGTTACTAAAAAAAATTCCGTCTTTTAATTATGTCACATTTGATCTTATTTGATGTCCTAGATTCCAGCTTATGTCTAATGGGAGAAATAGTTACTTCCTACTCAGTTGCAGTTTATATTATATATCTCCATTTCACATGAATATTCCTTCTCTCAGTCTACCTTATTACCATCAATGCAAAATTATTTTTGTAAACTCATTTTATCCAGACTATTCCAGTGGCCTAAGTGGTTAGAGCATCCATCTCAAATGTGGGAGGTTGTGGGTTCAAACCTTGTCTGAGTCATACCAAGGACTTATAAAAATGGTACTAGCAGCTGCCTTGCTAGGCACTCAGCATTAAGAGGTTAGTGTTAGGACTAGTTGGCTTGGGTGTCATGATAATGTGATTTGGTGGGACATGATGCTTCATGTCTGGCATGATGTCCCAGTGCTAGACATCACTATAAACTGTAATATGCCCCAAGGCATAAGCAGAGGAATAACCAGATAAAGGTAGATAAACTGATTAAAGCACAGAAATTTGGACTTGCTTCCCTTTTTAAAATGTTAAAAAAAAAACACTTATCCCAGACTAGTGACTTGGAAAATTTTATTTGTTGAACTTGAAAAATGTATAGTTCAATATGTTGGGCTGTGAGGTTTGATCAGCCCTTGTAGTGTTTAGTGTATTCTTCAATTTCATCCTTATGAGAATTAATTTTTCTTTAGATCAAAAATTTCTTACTAGATAGCTTTAATATGGAGCAATAAAGAACATGAATGTCGTTATATTAATAATTAAAACTCAGTTGAAACCAGCTGAAACATTTTGAGAACAATGGTCTTTCTGGTAGAATCATCTCAATTTGGTGCTGTCCCAAGTGGATTATTGCAACTTCTGGCATAAGAGAAAAAAATCTGCAATGCCATTTAGAATAAACACAATTGATGATAACCAGCATTGGCTGCAAAGACCATTAGTATTGGAAACGATGATCCCTTTAATCATTTCTATTTTACTTTGTTTAGAAATATTATCCCATGAGTGTACATGCTGCCAGGAGCAGTTCAGCTATAATAAGGAAAGACCTTATACATCACTGCATGGTGTTAATATTAGCAGATAATGGACATGTATATTGCTATATATGGTCATAAAAAGTGTTGAAATTAAAGTAAGTACATAAGCAACTGTCTACACTTCCAAGAAACAAAGAATGGCTTATTGCAACCCCTCAAAAAGGTAATTTGATGTGATAAAAGACAAAAACAAAATTGGCATGAGAAAATAATTACCTTGTTTAAAGAAAGGACAGCATGACATGACACTGTCAAATGATCTGGTGGTAACACTGATTAAGTTGCCACACTGCCATGAGAAGCACAGATTAATAGAGACTTCCTGTATGCATCACCATGTGGTGTTGAGCAGTGGACACGATGGCTAGCCTCAGATTTGGGCACAAAAAGTATCCTGCTTGTGGTTATAAGAGTTGAGCACAAGAGATTTCAGTTGTTTTGTTAAAAGGTACATTTTTCAACTCTTAAAATGGCATTATGTTTTAAAGAAAGGATCTGATGTGATGTAAATCAACATCCTGGTGCAGAAAAAAGGACCAGCATTGGAATAAAAAAGTAAGGCTTGATACTCTCCTAAAATGGCCAGTGGAAACCACTAAAACAGTAGCAGTGCAAATAAATTAAGCCTAAAATTTACATGTCCTTCATTAAATTATAATTGATTTCACTTAATATAGATTAATCTCGTCATATAATAATGCTTTGTTTTTTCATAATGTCATTTGTGAAAAATTCACACTTCAGAGTGATGATGAAAAATTAGTCTTATATAATTGGTGAGCTAATGCCACATGGTATAAGTAGGCGGAGGAGGGGGGCTAATGGTCTAAAGCATTTACCTTTACCCATCACTGCCATATCCTCTGCCTAAGTATGTTTGAATCTCTGACTTTGTTAATGTGGGTATGTGAGACAGCTGCCAGTAGCTTCCCATGGGTCAGTAGTTCTTGTTCCTGTTTTTCCTAAGTTTTTCCTCCACCAGTTATACTGGCTGCCATGTATTGTCTATCTTGTGATGACAGATGGTGTTAAACACACAAAACAACAAAAAATAATTATGGCATGTGTCTTGTTCAGGTTATAAGTACCATGTATACTTTCTTTTAAGATGAGTCCAATGGCAAAAAAAACCTAGCACAAACCAAAATCTTCCATTGCACAATGTGCCAGCATATCTGGGTCTGTGCAGTTTGTTATGAATAATTATTAGAACAAACAACATTGACTCTGATCTGGAGGTGCATTATGCTATGGTAGATGAGAATCTTTTGTTAGCAGTTTGACTTATAAGTGAGTAAACACTGTATGTCCTTATGAACAGATGCTGTCCTTGCATTAGTATGAAAAAACTATGAAGCATTAGACATGTCTATCCATCAATCCTTCCAGTCTTTCTTGTGTCTTTTTGATATGGTAAAGTTTTGGCTTTGGTCAATTTTTTGTGCATGCATGCAAGATCATGCTGCATGGGTTCATATATCTGATGCTTCTGTTAGGATGCAGCACCCTCAAGTCACAAGTAGGTCACTTTGACCTGTTTTGTGCTCAAGAAGTTAAGCTGAGGTTCACATGCTCTGTTGACTCACAAGATTATGATTCATAATGTGTGTGATGAACACCAATAACTTGTATGATATCCTTTTACAAGCTAAGTCATTGGTTATCAAAATGGGTCACTGGTTGTGATTGCCTGTGTAAGTCAATTCATATAACACAGCATTGATGTTCAGAGCATATGTCAGGTTGTTCCTTGGTTGGTTTTGATGACATTTTCAGTACTTGATTTCACTAGGTCATGCTCAGTAAATCATCAGTAACACACAGGCAGCAGACCTGGGTTGTCCTGGGCAGGTGTCAAACCCACAGCCCTTATATTATCAGTTTGATTGTCTACAAACATACCGATCTCATTTTGCTCTGATTAAATTTTGAAAATAATCAATATGCCAAGGATATGTGGGTCATATTGACATTTGAAGAACAGTTTTAACATCAGGTGTACATCATCTATAGTGCTTTTAATTAAAGCTACATTTCTTCACTGTTCCAGAGGCCAAGTGGTTATAGTGTCTGCCTTGGATGTGGGAGGTTGCCAGTTTGAACTCCAGCCAAGTCATACCAAAGTCTTATAAAAATGGTACTAGCAGCTGCCTTGATAAATGCTCATCGGTAAGAGGTTGGTGTTAGGACTGGTCAGCCTGGTGTCAGGATAATGTGACTGGGTGGAACATCATGCTACATGTCTGTGGCATGATGCCCCAGTGCTAGACATCACTATAAGCTGCGACACTGCAGACATTGTAGCAATACAAAATCAGACTTGTTAAAGCTGTGTTAAAAATCCATATCACACACACACACACACACACACACACACACACACACACACACACATAGAAACACACACCTCTCGCTTCTATTAAAATACATTGCTTTTCATTCATTGTGAATTCTATCCATTATGTGCCACATACTGAAAGTTTTATCCCTGTTCCGTCAGTTCCAACTGAAGGGATGCATTAATTGGAAAATAATTCTCTCTTGTTTAGAGGCTCAGTTATTAAGATTTTTACTATTAAACTGTACATCACTGAATCTGTCTTATTCCCTCCTTGCTTTTCATTAACAGCAGTGCACTGCCATTGTATGCCACTGGCAATAAATCACTCAAATCCTGTTTCACTGTCTGATGGACTTATTATATATTTTATCTACATTTGACTCTTTCAGCAGAGGACTATCAAGATGGAAGGATCAAATGATGTGTCTGACTCTGAGCAATATGTTTTGGATTCTCTTTTATTTCCCAAAGAGGCCATGATTAAAAGCATAATTTATCATTCACTGACAAAGAACTGATGTCATTATGTTAAATTGAAAGTTGGACTCTTCGTATTCACTCTATGACAGAAGTAATCAGTCAGTTACTGCATACATTTGTAAGCTTCTGAGACTCATTTCCATATATAGTGAAATTGGAGAGATTTTTGAGCTACTTGCAGATAAGATTGGTAAACTGAAAATACTAAAGGAGAAAAGTTACATTAAAATCTTGTCAGAAACATCTAGTTTTGCTTTTTCTGAAAGCTTTTTTGTCTCACATTGTTTGGCAAAAATGCAAGATGGTGATGTTGTCATCAGTGGTGGGAGAATCAATTAAAGTGATTTTTGCATGGCTACAACAAGGAAATACTGAAAGGAATTTGATAAAATCGCTTTACTTTATGTTTAGGGAGTGGGAATATGTTTTGCATGAAGTCAAATTCCTTTTTTTATAGGATCGAGGAGTCTGACTTGACTCACTAAATAAGGCTCTGGATTAAGACATTGGAGCTTTACAGTACCCAACTTTTCCACCCATATGTCTCTCCACAAGTCCAATGGCTTCTGTCTATTTGCCACTCATTCAGCATGTTCTGTTGCACTTTGGCGTGTCTCCTAGACCAAGATGTGCCTTGTATGCATTTTGTCTTGTCTGGACATTTAGCTCAACAGGCCACAGGTCGTAGTGTGTTTATGCTATGGCCTTGTGTCTGCCATTCCTCTGTCAATATTTGCTTGTTACCATTTGGGAAGCCAGATTTTTTAAGACATTTTGATCCAACTTGGAATACTGGATTTATATAGGTAGCACATGACAAATGTCATTACAGCTCATCAGTTGGACATGACCAGAAGCATTTGGCATTTTGGAAATGCTTTTATATATATATATATATATATATATATATATATATATATATATATATATATATATATATATATATATATATATATATATATATATATATAGACATGCAAATACACACACAAGATGGTACAGAATGCCATTTTATGTCTGGAATGGGCAGTTCATTTGAAAGCAAGTCTGTTAGATGTGAACAGCAGTCAATAAAGAAAAGCATTCCTGGTAACCACATATAAACATTTTTCATTAACTACATTTCCTATACAAGTACATTATATTTATTGAGCTGCCAGGAAGAATAATGAACAGAAAAGCATTACATGGACAGATCTATATTCTCATAATATATTTAAAATGGAGATTGAAGAATGGAAAAGAATTTATTATCCTTCAACTGCCACTATGTTGCTCTTAGTCAAGGACCCAGGAAATATACTTGCTACCCTTTCTTCTTTTCATGAATAGAAGTTAGTGAAGTGTGTGGCCTGGAGATTTGATCTGAAGATAATAATTCTAGCAGACAAGAGGTTAACTTG